GGGCGCTGTCGGAGGGTCAGTGCTGAGGGAGCCGGCACTGTCAGAGGGTGAGGGAGCAGGCGCTGTCGAAGGGTGAGCGCTGTCGGAGAGTGAGGGAGCAGGTGCTGTTGGAGGGTCGGTGCCAAGGAAGCGGGTGCTGTCAGAGGGTCAGCGCCGAGGGAGCGGGCGCTGTCGGCGATGCTTCAGCCCCCTTTCCTGAGCCTGATGTACACCGACATGAGGAGGCCATTCTGTCCCTCTCTGACCAACCCCCCAACCCGTCCCCGGTTCCTCCGAACACGACCGACCCTGTCGCCTCCCCTTCGCCATTTTCCGCCTCTGGGAAACACCCACCCGGTGGTGGCGTTCGAAATCTCCGGATGATCCCCCTCCTCGCCTCGAGGGCTTTCTCTGGGTTGGGACGACGGAACATTCGAGATCATAGTCCACTCATAGCCATTATCGCCAACCCTTGGCCGTTCCACATCGCCGTCCCCTCCCATGATCCTCCGCTCCGCCTCCCCCCGCCAACCCCACCGTCCGCCCTCTCTTCCCCGCCAACTCCCATTTCACTTTCGGCATCTTGGTCTAGCTCTCTGACGGCCCCCTGCGTTGAATGTCCCACTTTCAGTTTCTTCCCGATCAGTAATTTCCTTCAGCGATGTTGTCACGATGACTAAACCCATCTCGTGTCCGAAAGGCGACCAGTTTTTGGACAATATCCAACCACAGGCATCACTCTGAAAACAACAAAAGAAAAAAACAAGGTGGGCACAGACGCTAGGCTATGCCCGTCTCCGACGAGAGCGCGAGAGAATCCAGCCATCGCCCCCGCCTTGAGGTTCGACGGTGGCACCGTCGCCGAATCCCCTCCTCCCCCACTATCAACATCCTGCATTTCTTTTTAATCATTCACGGGATGAGGGCATCGCTGGCCTGGCAGCATTTATTGCCCCAGAGGGCAGTTGGGAGTCAATCACGTTGCCTTGGGCCTGGAGTCGCATGTAGGCCCAGACCAGGTAGGGATGGCGGTTTCCTTCTCTGAAGGACATTAGTAAACCAGATGGGGTTTTTCCCAACCATCGGCCATTCACGGTCATCGTTCGGCTCTTAATTCCGAGTGTTTTTTAATTATTGAACCCAAAGCCCACCATCTGCCACGGCCGGGATTTGAACCTGGGCCCCCAGAACGTTATCTGGGTCTCTGGATTAACAGGCCAGTGATAGTATCGCGAGGCCTTGGCTCCCCATCTCCAACGAGAGAGAGAATCTAACCTTCCCCCCCCCCTCACCCAGCCCAGGAGGTTCAATGGCGTTACCGTCACTGAACCCCTCCCCACATCCTGGGGGTTACCATTGACCACAGACCGAACTGGGACGCCAGCCCCGTATCAATGCAGCGGCTACAAGGAGCAGGTCAGAGGCTGGGAATCCTGCAGCGAGGAACTCCCCTCCTGACTCTCCTCCCCCCCCCCAAAGCCTGTCCCACCTACGATAAGGCAGGAGGGTGAGGGAACACTCCCCCACTTGCCCTGGAAAGGGGCAGCTCCGACAACACTCGAGATGTCCAGGTATAAAGCAGAACCAGTCCACCCCGTCTGCTCGATCAACGTGCTAACCCTCACCTTCAACACTCCCTCCCTCCACCGCCGACGTAGCTGGGCTCATTAGGAATGCTCGGCTGAGCTCCAACACTCCCTCCCTCCACCGCCAACGTAGCTGGGCTCATTAGGAATGCTCGGCTGAGCTCCAACACTCCCTCCCTCCAACGCCGACGTAGCTGGGCTCATTAAGAATGCTTGGCTGAGCTCCAACTCTCCCTCCCACCACCGACGCACAGCCGCAGCAATGTGTACCATCTACAGGACGCACCGCAGCGACTCGCTGAGGCTCCTCCGACAAGCCTGCCTCCCTCTACCCGCTGGAAGAGTGAGGGGGCAGCAGACACAGGGTGGGGGAGGTCACCAACCCCTGTAAGTTCCCCTCTGAGACCCCGCCACCACACACCACCCCGACTGGGAATGGTATGGGCCGTTCCTTCAGTGTTTCTGGGGTCAGAGTGCTGGACCTACCTCTCTGAAGGTGGGGGACACTGTGTCCTTATACTACGGTGTGGAGCGGGGTGGGAGTGAGCGTAGGGAGGAGGGGTTTGGGACCTGCAGCGGTTCAGGAAGGCAGGTCACCGACCCCACCTTCTCAAAGGG